ACTTCGATTCCGCCGGTAAGACTCGGTCGGACCAATCTGCCAACCCGCACATGTAGCCATTCGGCTACCCCTGTGTGGACCCTGCAGGCAAATAGACCCTGTACGGACGCTGTGGCCACCTGTCTAGGTAATCGGTCCCCACAGGGTCCACGGGCAGGAACCCTCTGCCAGGGTGTCGATACAGCCAGGGTTGTACCAGTCATTTCCTACGATACATTTATAAATGTACCCATTCGGCTACTCCTGCGTGGACCTTGCGGGCAAATCGACCCTGCACGGACTGCTGTGACACCCTGGGAAGGTAATTGGTCTCCACAAGGTCCACGGGCAGGAACCCTGTCAGGATGTCGACGCTGCCAGGATTGTAAATAAGGAGATCTGTGGGCCGTGAAAGGCAAAACCGCAAGGAAGATCCTTCACATGCACACACCAAGATGCTCGGCTGTTCACGTAGACTGAAACCATTGCCGCATTCCGATGTTGACATTTGCAGCCTTGGTGACGACATTTCACGTCTTCTTACGCACCATTCATCACACTACGGACAGCTCCACACAGGCGCGTGCTAGCATTTGTTCATGGCAGAGTGACTGCATGCGGTGCGGCATGACAGGGATGGTGGTGATGATCAATCATGATGCAAAAATAATCTATTTTTGTGCGCGGGACTGTCATCCGTCGGGCGCGAATATTGCAATCCATGGATTATAAAAGAGAACCACAGTCCAAACATCCAGACGGGTCGAAACCCCGGGAAACCGCCCGGAGCGTCTTTGAAGAGGTTCTCCTCTCTCTCAAATTCAAAATTCTCTCGGAGCCTGGATCTAACGCCCGTATAGTCTTCGGAAGCAGAGCTCTCGTCTGCAGCAACAGCCCCAACAGGCCATACTGCCATACTGGCAAATATCAATGGCATAGTAAATAGGGGTTCGGGTGGGGTTTAGGCGTGAGTGCTTGTTGTTCGCTGTCCTTCGTGGTAAGCGTTGCAGGACGCTTGATCGTGATCTATATTTGAGGTATATATTTGAAGGGGTTAAGCCCCGTGTCGGTGATACCAATAGTCGATTTCTCAATTGAGCGGTCTTTGTTCCCAGTGGGGCGGACAGTCGGGCGGTGGGATGTATGTGTTTGCCGTGATCCCACACATTGTGTTCCCGCAGCAGCCCGGCTAACGCAAGAAGAACGGTACGCTTTTTTTCTACTGCGGTGAGGGCAAGTTCATCGACGTTCACGCATGTTTGTTCATCCGCGACCAGGACGTCAGCAGGCATGCGGCGCCCGAACCAATGTCGTGGGTACGACAACTACCAATATTGCTGTCAACACTCTTGAAGTAGTTACCGAGTATTTTGAGCCCGGCGTGAAACCAAGGAAGCCAAGGAAATACTTCTTCGTTGGTACGCGAGGGCACACAGGGACGTGGGCAGGATGACCGCAACATCTGCAGGCACGAAATCTGTAGGCATCGTTTAGTTCGCACACCGCAGGCCCGCTCAACAAACTCGAGACGCGGCTCACACGGTTTTCTTCGCAGAGCACACAGGTCGACAAGCACAGATAGACGCAGAAAAAAAAAACAGAAAAAACAACATCCAAGAGCGATTTGATGATAGACTGACCCCCACCAAAAAAAAAGGACCTGGATATGACCCCAACACGGCAAAAAAAGGGGCGGACGAAGAAAAAAAGAAAAGAAAAGGAAATGGAACAAGAGAGATAAAAACAGGACAGAACCAGATGGTCCCATCGAACGCTACACCGCAACAACCAAATAGACATACAAACACAATAACGACAACATCACAGACGGCGATCGGCGCAAAAACGCGGAAGCGAAAAATAAACAACACACCGAGCCTTGACCTGCCGCTGGGGGGGGACAAAACATCGTTCAGACATATGCCCCGGTGACGTCGTAAACCTAGGGCCGCGTACCGCTACTCACGTACCCCGAGTATGCAACACCGAAACTAGGGTTGGGACCCCGAAGTCGCGGTTCTCTTGCTACCCCCTCTTGTGTATCTTTCTGCAGCGCCAGGTCGTCTTTTATTACTTGTCCTAGCCGGCAGGCGAACTGTTCCAGGGTTGGCCATGAAGAGAGCCGCCCCCCGCCCTCCCGTCGTTGTGGTTCCTACCCCGCCTGCTTGCACATTGACCATCGTCAGAAATTGGTCCACGAGGGCTA